TAGACGGTTGCTGTGCAAGGAGCACATAACTTTCAGACTATATTCATAAAAGTCTACAAACTTTTTCTTAAAATGACGTTTTTGTTTGTACGCGATGCAAAGGGAAACCTACTTAAGTGAAACCTAGTGAATTTGCAAAAATTGACATTCGTTCTAAAATTGAAAATCGTACTAAAAAAAACGAAAAGACATAAAAAATTTTTTCCACAAGAAGTTTCAGTTTTCCCAAAACCGAGTGTTTTTTAGCCCACGAAATTTACTCCATCATTTTACTCGCTCGCAATTAGACAGAAGTTAAAAAATTTCAAACCGGTTTTCCTCAACACTGTGACAATTTTTGATGTGGTTCCAATCACGCTTGAAAGAGTTTTTCTAGCAGCGCTATTGTAAGCTAGTGAAAACTGCAAATAAAGACTGAAAAATGATTGGCCTAAAAACAACTACACTTTACAAAAAATACTGGCCGAGCAGCCTAAGGTTATGCACAAAAACTAAGCAGATCATTCCAGCGTATGTTAGAGCCTCCCAATTACTCATGTTATTCCAAACTATAGTAGGTGGGGGTGATTTCCTACTTTAAACACTTTCTTGGATCAGAATTGATTAAGTTTGAACTACTAAAAATAGCAATTTGTCTCAAGGACAACTACCAGTTGTTTTGGCTAGCTTGCGCCAATTTATCGTCCAAAACACTTACACCGAAACAAGTCGTTAATGCAATCTCGATTTTTAAAACTGTGTAATTTACGATGTTTATCCATTTTTGATGTGTGTGCTGACCGAAAAAACCCCTATTTATATTCGTTTTATACAATTTTTTCAGATTGAACACACATTTTGGTGCCTCGCATGGGTCAAAAATCAAGTAGCTCAACGTTACAGAAAAACTCACAGGGGTTCTAATGCGGAAATATTTGGAAATAACTGCGACGAAGAACACCTTAATCAGAAATTCAAGTAGCACAGAGAGCAGCCACCGCCTCTAAAAGTCGACATTGAGCTAATGAACAGTGTTAACAGCACCCAAGTTGACAAAAACTGCTTATCATACCAATTCATATTATGAAAAACATGTTTATCACACTATTTCATACTGTTTCTTTGGACAGCAAAAAAAGTTTTTTTTTTCCATTCTATGAAATAAAATTTTAAGCATTTTTTGCAACATTCTGGAATTAAATAACAAGCGTTTTGGCATACTTTATATCACAAAAAATATTATGAAAGTAGCAAAAGCCTTTTTTCCATCCTATGAAAATAATTTTTTTTTTAATTTTCTGTGGTTCATCCGAATTACTAACCAACGATTTCGTGTCATAAGCAAACCCAGAGTGTAACTGGCAGTTAACTCACAAATAAACTGCAATTGGTGTTTTTAGCCTTAGTGATTTTAACATTTTCACATGTGTTTATATAGCAAATGTATCATTTTTCATATGGCTAGATAATTTTTTTTGTTTGAAAACTTTGGTCGTTGAGAAAAAAGGCCTGTTTATTACAAGTTCATCATTTTTTTAGCATGTAAAACAAAAAAAAAGATATTCGTTCTTACAAAAACAATTTTTGTAATTTTTGGATTTTTTTTTGGTAAAAAACTCATCCTGTGCTACGTTTTAATTGATTTTAAGTTAGTTTTTTGTAAAATATATATTTGAGCACGAAAGCAAATTTGCAACCCAAAGAATGATTAAAATTTTTTTTTCCTGAAATTTGTCTTTTTTTCTATGAAAAAAGTATATCATACAATTTTCATATCTGAAAGTTTATATGATAAGCATTTTTTGCGACCGAAACAGAATTTATTTTTTTGAAGTAAAAAGATTTTAATCGCTGAAAACCCCTCTTGAACTCATGTAAAATTGCGCAAAGAAAGTTTCAATAAATTTTCAATTTTTTGAAAAGTGCATATCATACATTTTTCATTTCTGAAATTTATATGATAAGCATTTTTTCAACCAAAAATGAAATTATTTTTTCGACATTAAGTTGATTTTAATCACTGAAAACCCCTATTGAACTCTTGTAAAATTGCGCAAACAAAGTTTCAAACGATTTTCAATTTTTTTTTTAATTTTCTCTAAAAAATTGTTAATCGTACACTTCATGTATGAAAGTTAAATGACAAGCATTTTTTGTTACAATAGGTAATTGGACAAAGTACTTAGTTTTTTCTCGACAACAAAGTTTTCAGGGTTGATGTGAACGGAACACAATATTAACCGGAACATAGACAAAACAAGTCAGGCCATTTCAAAAATGCAACCGATCGAATTAATGGTTGGGCAGACTCTGTAAGTTCAAAAGCTTCTCCTGACGGTGCTAGTGCAGGCCTTCATTTATGTACCATTTACGTCAGATCCGACTACTTCCGCTAGCCTCGTTTATGAAATTAACACAAGTAATGGTAATAACCAAGAGCACACAGCATTGTGTGGCCGTGGAACCTGTAGTCATGAACATCGGGCATGGACTTAACATGGACGATTACTTGAATTTGTTGTAGAGTTTTACCCATGTAAATAGAATTAGCTGTGGTGTGGTTTGGTTTGGTTTTTTAGTTTGGTGCAAATATTTTGATTAAAACTGTCAGTAACGGTGATGAAATTACTTTAAGAATGACATGAACCCCCAGGTTTACGAAACAGCTTTTTTGTCCGTCCAAGAAGTATGTAACGGTGCCAAAAACCATTGCACATCTTAGATTTTAAACGGGACCATATTAAAGACACATTGGTTCTTAGCAGAGAATACCTTCAGGATAAGGCAAAAACTCAATGATCCGTCTTGAGTTTCTTCTCTTCCGTGTTGGACCCTATTAGGTTAGTAGCCCCAAACACAGTTCAAGCCCGTCTTTTGCTTAGAGATAATTGGAAAAATAGCAGTCGAAAATGGAACGACGAATTGCTGGAAGATAAAAAGAACAAGAGTTTCTCCATTAGCACTTCGGTCTCTCAATTTTAGGGTAAACGACTATTCCGCGTGAATCAAAGTGAGCTTCACATGTTTGGTGATAGCTCATAAGATGTTTTCTGTGCTCTTGGTTTTTTTTCGCGTGAGCGACTCTCGAAATCCCAGAAAACTCAAATACACTCCATCTTTTGTAAAGCTCGCGTCTCGCAGACGAAAGCGCTATCTATACCTAAGCTAGAGCTTTAAGCTGCTCTGGTCGCCACAGTACTGAAATTTGACATAATGAAAGCACTTTTAGTTAAGACTATTTCCGTCTACATGTGGACGGGTAGTGTCACAGTTTTGCTGTGGCTAAACTAAAATGACAGTTTACCCATATTCGTGTGGGCAAAATCCTTGAATTGACAACTATTGATGAAAGGCACCACGTTTTGAGCTGGGATGAACCAGCTGATACGGGTGCATGTGGGTTTTCTTTGGAAGCCCTCAAAGATAGCAGCTGGGTTACTGGTTTGACCATTCTCAGGACTACCGATTGGCCGTTTATACCCGATGAACGTCTGATCAAAAAAAATCGGTTGAAGGGAACTTTTTGTGATGTCGATTATTGCTTGGAACATCGTCTTCCTTCGTCACCGATGTCACATTAACCAAATGTCCCGAACACAGGTTCAATTGTGAAAGGTTCAATTCCTTTACGAGCTATAAAAGAGTCGTTTAGTTTATGTTGAGGATGCTGCCTTCACAAAAGTAATTTCGGGGTACGGACCTAGGGATTACCGACCCCGCTGAACTTGATATCGCAAAAAAGGAGCTTATTCAACTTGCTCAGATAAAATCTTTTCCCGTTGAGATTAAAACACTCAACGCTGTCAAAATTTTTAAAAACAATTATCGGGTTGCAATATATTCTCCAATTCTCGGCCCGCTGGTATAATTCGCTCCAAGGGCCGGTTTTTTTTCAATAAATGAATATTGAGTTTGATTCTAAACGCTCATTTTTACTTGACTCTCGTGATACTCTAGTTCGCTTCTTGGCCCGAAGCTTCCGCCTTAAGTATTCATCAAGGTTTGGACCATGTGCATTCCGTCTTAAACATGAAATAAACAATACTTGGGTTGCGTTGACTACTTCGGTATATCGAACATCATTGTGTAAAATGTCATAAACGCAAATGTAATACCATTCAGCCGATTATGTCGGTTTATCTGATAAACTTCACGGATATAAACAACCACCATTTAGTCATACGGGCGTGGATTACTTTAAACTGCCTCACATTCAGGTTCGGAGAAATTCTTAGAAAAAATCGTTTCTTTTGCCTCACCACCAGGGCTGTATACCTTGAGATTGTGCCATCTCAGGACACTAGTTCTCATATCTCAGGAGCATTGAAGGCTTCGTTGCACGTCGTGGTACACCAAGCACGATCTGCCGGATAATGGTACGTCGGTGCGGAAAAGGAATAACTTGCCTGCATCAAGAGCTGGAACGGCATGGGTCCGATTATTTTTACGAACAAAGGTATTGCTTAGAAATTGCACTCGCCAGGCGCACCTCCAAATTGCGGCTCCTTGAATCGCCTCTTCCGGAGCGCGAAGCGCGTGCTCTACGACATTCTAGGCAGTGGGCGAGTTACTGAAGATGTGTAAGGAACAACACTCTGCTTAGCTGAGCAGGCTTTGAAGTATCGGCCAATCACTCCCG